TGGCGGCGACTGCGGGCAGTGAAGCCGGCAGGGGAAGATGGAGGCCGAGCAGGGCGGGGCACGTGTCGCTGCAGCATCTTTGCACGGGGGCTTGCACGCGTGATGGCGCGTGTGAACACCTGGCGTTGCCCACGTGACTGCACACGTGATCTCGTGTGTGCTCACATGACTGCACGTGTGTTTGCACATGGGATCTCACCGGCGGCCCTCCCGGTTGCACGTGCGTACGGATGTGCGCTTGCACGGCCACGCGTGACGTGTGCTTGCATGTACAATGGCACGTATGACTGCCTTCATCGCTCTGTGCAGCGGCATGGGCGGCTGCGTGTGCGGCTGCACCTAGGATGTCACGTGTGACTGCACGCATGGGCACGGGACGCACTTTATTCTGCCCATCGGCGGGCCGGGGGGGGGGGGCGAGGGCCCCTGGCCTGGCTCTTGCCAACCCGCGACGTGCAGGAGAAGGGGAGCGCGGGGCCTGCCCCCGCCGGCTGTGACGCCTGTCCTCCTGACGTCCACGTCTCCCCCTCCCCGACGGGCTCGGGGCCGCACCCCGCGCCTGGGAAACAGCAGCAGACTCCCTAAAACCGGCCCCCCGCCCAGCCCCGCCCCGCCCGGCTGCCCCCGGAGCCGGGGGAGAACCTGCAGCAGCAGCGGGGGGGGGCGCTACGGCCCTAACCCGCCCCAGGAAGGGCTGCAGGCCCGGAGACCTGCTACAGCAGCCGAAAGGTGGCTCTGGGGGGAGGACCTCAAAAGGAGCCCCGCCCACTCCCCTTGGCCACGCCCCCTGCATAGGTGTGCCTGGAGAGGAGGAGGGTGGGGGGAATGGAGCAGGTCTAGCCCCCAGGCTGGTATGGCAGAGGAGCAGATATTACCCCCCACCTGCCCTCGCCGCCCCGGCCCACAGTTACTGCCCCTCGGCAGCGGTGTAGGTCCGCTTGACCCGGGCGTAGGGGCCAAGCGTGTCGCTGAAGACGAAGTCCCAGAGGACGCAGACCCAGGAGGTGTGGTGGGGCAGGGGGTCGTAGTACTCGGCCGCGATCTTCTTGACCTACAAACACAGCGG